TGGAAATGTTTTAAGATTTATATCATATTTTACAGGCACAGAGCAAGGATGAAGTCACTTCTCTTGTTCACTCAAGCACATAGTAGTTGAATCTTGTTTGCAATTCATAGTTCTTTTGCTGGATATACAATAATCAATCAAGCAATGAAATCATGACAATTTCTCTGAATTTTTCATGGGTGGTTCAGACGCTGCAACGAGTTAATAGTGACTAGTGGCTACAACATGTAAGAGCCAGTACAGCATAGGTGTTTGATAACAAAAAACAATTAGAATTTTCTGGTTGTCAGTGAGGCTTATCCCATGGGTAGAAATATACCTGAGAATCCAGAGGATCAGCCTCTCGTGAAACAAGATGTTGTAAGCTGACAATTACATTTGATGCTGCCAGAATTGGATCTATCGAATGCTGTGGAATAGCGGCATGACCCCCTCTTCCACTAATTACAGCTTCAAAAAAACCACTTCCCGCCAAAAAGGGTCCAGGTCTTGAACAAACTTTACCCAAAGGAAAGTTGGGATGGACATGCAGACCAAATATTGCTTCTACATTTTCTAGTGCTCCAGCATCTATCATTTTCTTGGCCCCACCACCTCCCTCCTCTGCTGGTTGAAAAACAAGAGCAACTGTTCCCTGTCAAAATTAGCCGAGAAAATATCAGCTGCCAAAAGAGTATTATACACCACAAGAAAATTGATGTCATGTATGCACTGAGGAGTGAGCTATGGATTCATTAAGAAAATTTTCTGGTTATGGTATTTTCTCAAAAGGTAATCAGATTTAAGAGCACGGCTGGCATTTTCAGAAACTGAAGTGTACTAGAAAGCTTAGAAGATTCTCTAAGATATTTCCTTTGCTGGTCAATAGAGCTTCTTGCATCCTTTCAGACAATTCGCAAAGTAAATCAAGGTTTAAGATTATATCAGAGGCTATCTTGATTATCCACCAGCCAGAATTACAATTCCAAGTTGTTGTCATAAGTAGAGAAGGTACACATGATTCTGCTAACTCCTATTCTATTGTAAAGATAGGATTTTTATTTTTCAAACCGCATTCTCTCCACGTAAAAGCATCCTTTCACACCATATAACTTGCTCTTCTGTCACCTAAAGATCTGATTCCCTGCCCCCAACCCCTTTTTTACAAGCCTCAGAAAATTAGAAATGAATGCAAAATAAGACCTATCTTTCTCCAATCAATTACATTGGCCTAAAACTCATCGAATGAACCAGAAATCCAGCATACATGCCAAACAATTAAAGTTCATTCACTCAAATGGATAAAATGCATAACGAGAAACAAGCAAAAGTCAAATCTCGAGCAGACAAAACGAAATTGTGATACTACTAATACAAGAATCAAACCTTCAAAATGTTCTGATGTTCTAGAAGAATCTTTGCAGCACCAAGAAGCATTGCAACATGAGCATCATGTCCACATGCGTGCATTTTACCAGGATTCCTACTTTTGTGCTCCCAGTCAACCATTTCCTGTTAAAATTAAGATGAAAAACTAATTGCTTTAGCTAAAATACAAAAAAATTCTCTCCTCTGTTTGGTGATCTCTAACCAATACATCAGTACAAAAAAAACCTAAATTTTATAACAGAATCAATAATCCACTAGCACTTAAGAGTAGGGGAGTAGAAAACATTTGATTTCAAACCTGCATAGGAAGAGCGTCCATATCCGCTCTAATCGCAACAAAAGGGGGTTTTCCTGAACCAATGAAGCCAACAATACCAGTATTCGCAAAAGGGTATTTATACTGAATCCCCAAATTATCCAATTCTTCTCTAATAAGCTTACTAGTCTCTAATTCTTCATAACCCAACTCAGGATTCTCATGTATCCTTCTCCTAACCCCCATCATCCAATCAAAAACCTCAGATTTCTTCGCAAAATCAAGAAATTTACTCGGTATTTCTGATAGTTCCCCTGAACGCAATTGAGAATCTGAGAAGATGGGTATGGGGGAAAAAGAAACAAAAATCAAAATCAAGAAAACCCATCTGGAGATATCCATATGAGAAAAAAAAGTTGGAAGAAACCCACAGATGGAAGAGAAGAGTGGATGAAAAATAATGGAGTAGGCGAAGAAAGGAACAAATTCAACAGTGGACTCTGTACATTATTTGATTAGGTGAGAATGATGAAAATATGGGGAAAATGGATTGAGGGTCCAATTGAAATGGGAGACGTATTGAATTAAAATATTGTTCCTTTGGCAGTAAGAGCTAAGAGATGAGCACTATAAAGATGCCTTCAGTGACAGCTCCAGCAGTTTTCAGGCTACAGTTGACCTCACGCCCTTAATCGAAATCTCTCACGTGGTTAATTTACCAGCCGCTTTTTTCCGTCCTTTTTTTTTTTTTCAAAAATAAAAAATAGTTTCAGAATTTGTTTGTTTGTGCTTTTTTTTCGATTGCCTTGATCTCCATAGATTTATTTCCCTACCATTTAATTAAAAAGTTGAATTAGATAATTTCAAAAAGGTAATGCTAAATAACCAGAAAATTTGGTTAGAATTTGGCCAGAAATTTAAAAAGTCTATAACATTTTTATTTTTTTAAAAATAAATTGATCTTTTTTCTATTTTTTAATTAAAAGATATTAAAGTTAAAATGATAAAAATGTTTAAAAAGGTAAAATAACATAGGTAAAATACCATTCTAGCCAAATTTTCTGGCTAAAAGGAATTTTCCTTTCAAAAAACTAACTCAAATTAGTTTTGAGACTTTCACTGACAAAATTTTAAACTTTTTTTCAATTAATATGCATGTCTAAGCATAACTTCAAAAATCACAAATTCAAAAGTTCATCTAGTTTAAACTTCGAAATCTATCACCAAACAAGAGTTCCGGCCAATAATTTTTTTTTTTTCAAGAACCAAAAGAATTTGTGCCAATAATAAATCCTCAAGAGCAAAGATAAAAAAAAATAATTAGAGATAATTTGTCTCAATTAGACTTTAACTGTGTAGATAGAAATCTTATTTTAGCTCAATAAATCATTAATAATCTTTTTACAGAGTATTCTTTATTTTAGTGAATCTTGAAAATTACTGCTCAATAATTTTTATTTTAAAATAATTTCATATTCATAGCTTAAACTCAACCCTCTCCTTTACCTCACAGAAAGAAAGACACAGAATAGACACCATATTTCATTAAACACTTAATTATTCTATTAAGGTTCCACTGATGATTCAAATTTCAAACATGTTAACATCATTGACATATTGATTCCCTCTTATAGTAATTATATATTATATTAGATATACTAAATTAGTTACGTGTCTGCATTATATATTAGTGACTTAGGAATGATTGGAATTGATTCCTTTTTTATGTCAATCAACTGGCATGCTTAAAACTTAAAAGTGTTATTTTATGTTTAAAAGGGTGGAACGCATGAATACATATACTTAATACTTCTAATTCTATGAATTATTGCACATAATATACTTTATCAGTTTTAATTTGTTCATTTATTTTTTATTTAATAAAAAATTTAAAAAAATGAATAAAAATTAGAACGTATTAAAATATTATTTAATTTTTTGATTTTGAACAAAATATATAAAAAATTAGAAATTAAGAAATTGCAAAGAAGAAATATACATGCCTTTTAAAATAAATTTAAAAAAAAAGTAAAACAAATAATTCGAAATAAAAAGAATATTATACATTTATATGTAGAACAGTAGAAGGATCATCACAAAATTTTATATTACTTGAATCCATAGCTTGGGAAATAAATGGATATTATGTTTGTTTAGACACTTTAGAAAAATATTTTAATCCTAATAACATATAGATAAACGCATTGAAAGTAGAAGAAAACCTCTTATAATGAAGATGTCTACAAACTACACATATTGACGCATGCTTCGTTACTAAAGAAATGAACTTCTACCGAGGTCCACAAGCTTTAGTCGGTTGTCACTTGTCCCTTTCGAAGACAATTATTTTTATATAATTTAATAAGATAATAGATTATCTATTTTTTTCTGTCTTTTATAATTGATGAATCATTTACATTATAATCTAAACAATTTTTAAAAATAATTTGAATATTTTATACACGTTAGAGAACCATTTATAATGTTTTTGCTCGAATCCACAAGCTTTAACTATATATTTTCAAATTTTGAACAATATCTAAGTAGTAGCTGAATAAGAAACTCCACTAAAGTGCGGAAAGTGCAATTTTTATATAATAGGACATTCATACAAAGTGCAAAAGACTATTTAAGAGCATCATTTAGATTGTAATCAATTTTTAAAAAAACATTTAATGTTTAATCATTCATAATCCAAGCATGAAGTTTCAAAATTCAGTCTAAAGTTTAAACTTTAAACTATTAAAGCCAAACTTTATAACTGAGTCTGAAGTTTTTCAAGCTAAAAGCAGTTACCATCCCAATTTTTCGCCATCCAGCAACAACAAATAACAACAACAATATATCAAGTGAAGTGGAATCTAAAAAGGGCAAATTACAAAAATCACATACTTTTAAGGCAAAATTACAATCTATCCCTTAAAAGTTTATAATTACAGAAATCCCTCAAATGGATACAATAATATAAGCGCTGATATATTAATTTGATGCGCGAGATACATTAATCGTTAAGTAAGATACATTATATTTTATACATGATACACTAATCTGATGCGCGAAAATGAGGGATTTTGGAGATTTGTAAAACTTATAGGAAATAATGGTAATAAGTAAACTAAAAGGTGGAATTTCTGTAATTTTTCCATCTAAAAAATGGTAGAGTGTACTCCGATCATAACCTTATTATAGCGGCATCCGGCCTTACTAGAAAATGGGCCTAAAATCCAGTCGTAGAAAACCCAAACCCAATCCTTAACATTAGCTTATGCAATTCTATAGCCCAACGAATAAATAAGCCCACTAGATAGAGCGATCCAGCCAGCCAGCCAGCCCGACCGTTAAATCAGAATTTTTGTGATTTTTCATTTCTTTTTAGCCGCCCTATCCTTAAAACCGCCAAGTAACGTACTCGGAGTCGGAGTTATTTCCGGCGCCTATGGTTTAACAGTTGCTCCGACTGAAAATGGCGGCGGCGGTGGCTACTTTCGGCATTCGCTCCGTTCCTTCTAACATATGGCTCCACAAATTCGGTGCTCGAACGGCAGCTGCATCAATACGTTCACGTTCATTCACCACTCTCGCTTCTCTTTCCCCCGTTGAAGATACTGAAGACATTCAATTGAACGTAATTCCAAAAGAAAATGCACGGGAATCGGTTTCTAGTACTAGCAACAACAACAATTACAAGTCTAATAAGTCTTATTATCCGAAGCGAGGGCAAACACTGGAGCTAGTATGCGAATCCCTTGCTTTCAAAGGAAAAGGCGTCTGTAAGGTTGCTGACAGTGGTTTTGTACTCATGTGTGATCGTGCACTCCCTGGAGAACGATTCATTGGCCGTGTCACTCGCAAAAAAGATAATTACGCTGAGGTGTCTGCTTTTTATCCTTTCCGGTTTGATTAACTGCAATGTATATATTTATTTTTGTTTTGAATGATTTAGCGTGTTTTCTTTCAATTGGCGAGGATAGTATAGAGATGTAAATTTATTGTGATCTTTTAGTACTTGTGCCAATGTGTTGATTGATGTTATGCATGTTGATAAGGAGGGCAGGTAAAGAAGTTGAAAACAATAACACCTCATTCAGACTACGTTGAAGCACCATGTGAATATGCATCACACTGTGGAGGTTGCAAGACGCAGAGTTTGTCGTATGAAGCCCAGCTCAAGGCCAAAGAGCAACAAGTTTGTGACCTGGTTGTTCATGTGGGCAAGTTTTCTGATCAAGAACCAGAATTTGCAGGTGTCATGAAACCCATTGTTCCCTGTGATATCCAATTTCACTATAGGAACAAGGTCAGTAAAGGATCCAACCGAATTTTTATTTTGGAAATATTTTGACTAGAAATTCTACTTACTGTTACTACTAATGCAATCTAAGACAGCATTGCTTGGCAGTTTTTCCTTTTTGGTTGCATACCTTTGCTTTATTTGTATATTGCTTATTTTTGCTGTTGTGGTCAGGAGTCTGAAGAATTAGACATACTTTTGACTGCCAATGCTTCATTCGGCTTGGCAGTCATGGTAGGAAGTGTGGAATTATATTGTAATATATGTTATATGGAAACATTTTGATAATCAGATGATTTGTTCAAATAGAGAGAAAAGGTGCATTTTTTTCCTGGCAAGGCGTTAAATAATTTCATGCCTCTTAAACATACACACACACACACAAATAATGCGCCTCTCTCCACTAGATGGTCTGGTTTATACAACACACTTAAACATACACACACACAAATAATGCGCCTCTCTCTCTCTCTCTCTCTCTCCCTCTCTAGTTATATATATATATATATATATAGAGAGAGAGAGAGAGAGAGAAATCATGGAGCACCAAATGCATTAGCATTTTATCTAAATTACTTAACAAAAATTTAAATTAAACATAAGTTATTAATATAAGGGGATTTTCAAGAAGAATAGACAAAAACAAAGGAGAAATGATAATGTGCTAAAAGTTAGATGAGTGGGGTGACTAGTTTAAGGGAGATCAAGGTTGGCTATTGATTACGGTTGCATTGCATTAAAAGATGCTAGATTTTTTTTTTTTATAGGCGCAGTGATATAATGTTGTTTTATTATAAAGTCTATATGAAGATTCTGAAAATAAATTTCCTTTACTTATGAAAAATTATGTTGGTTTCTTTGTATGTGTATAGCAATTTTTCTTTATTTTGTCCACCTTCTTATTTCACCTGCTGGTTTTGCCTTCTTATTACTATTATATGTGAGCAATAATAGTTCTGATGTTCAGAAATCTAAAGGGGAAACAAGAAAGGAAAAACAAAGAAGAGAGAATGAATTTCGACAAGTGGAAAGCTGATATGTTTACTGTCTTTTCATTACATGTGATGCAGATGGAATTCTCTTTTGGTCCAAAGGGATGGGTACCTGCTGAACAGCTGCAAGAAAAATCTACTGATGAATGTGTCTATGCTTTGGGTCTGCATGCCCCTGGATTTTTTGATAAAGTTTTAAATGTGAATAAGTGCTTATTGCAAAGTGATTCAGCAAATGAGGTATGGTATGTGCCATTGAATGTAGCTAGATTTAGTTGCCAACGTCTGCCTTTTTCTCCTTTTTTTTTTAACTGTACATGGTCTTTTAAGTTTCGATGGACTTACCGTTTATGAGGTGTGTGAAGTAAACAAGCATATTGTAGGGAGGAAGTGCAAAGGAATGGGAAAAGACAGATAAACTGTCAAAAAGAGGGGGGGGGGGGGTAAAGAGGTATTCATTAGTAGCACACTATTGAGCATAACCACATACTTTAGGTTTGTATTTGCCAGCAAAGAGAGCTGTGACTTTGAAATTGGAGACATTAAGAGGCAAATAAGTTTTATGTGGTAAACTGGAATGTAGCATATCTCCTAAGAAATAGGGGGTTAGGGTAAAATGATTTAAGGCAAAATATTAAAAATAACATCATAATGCATTAAAAAAGCATTAATAAAGCACTATTTGAAAAATGGATTCAGAAATCTGGCAATGAGAGTTGTGCAACTTGGAGGAGGACGGTCATTGTAGAGGATTATGGAGTCCAGGAGGGGAGAAGAAAGCATCATAATGTCTTGGAGAAAGAGAATGAAAATATGCATGAGTTTCACGGATACATCAGCTTCAAAGTGGTAACAGAGATAGGGAAGCACATCTCCAACAATATTTAGCATATCAACCTAGAAGTTATTGATGGTAGCACAGGTGTACAGAGGTGAAGAGGAAGGAGGAGTACTAGGTTGAGAAGGAATCTGAATTGAGATGGAAGATAACTCCAAAATCCCTTTATTTTTACTCCACTAGTAAAGATGATAGCAAATTACAGACATATTAGGATACCTGGAATTGAAGAGACAGAAATGAGATTTTCTGAGTTCTAGGTTGTCATTTTACTATAGGTTGTGAAGAGAGATTAGAACATTTACCAACTCCCTTAAGCTAGAACACCAATAAATTGAAGTTGTCCTCTAGCTCATTTACGTTGGTTTAACCTGATTCAAGACCTATCACTTATAATTGGCTCATGTTGATCTTTATGTGTAGATTTTTCTGCAGCAGGAGCCTTAATGATGCAATTAGACAGCTCTGAGAGCATCTTGTTTCCCTCATTTGTACTCTTCACAGATTTGAGCTTGGAATAAATTTTTCCATCTATTATTTTTCAATTCTGCCTTCGATTAGTCATGATTTGATATGGGTTTTTTGTTTCGACGGTGCTATTTGTGCTTTTTTTTCTTTTTCTTTGTATGATGTAATTTCTTCTTGTATAAAAATGATTTTGTGATTTAGGTTCTCGCAACTGTGCAAGAATGCTGGCGGGATCCAGAGTTGGGGCTTTCTCCGTGGAATGTGCACTCTCACACGGGCTTTCTGAAGCATCTAATGCTTAGATCAGGCAGGTATTTGATCTTATTGCTGCCCTTTGTGAATAAAGCATTGAGGTCATCATCCGTTTCTTCCTCTCTTTTTTTGGGTGGGGCCGTGGGGATAGGGCATTGGGGTGGCTGGCAAGATCCTTGAGTAGCCATGTATATAGTTTTACTATTAGGTGTTTCAGATTATGTTTTGGGGCTGAATTCTTAGGTTCTTGAGCAAGTCTCAAGTCTTTCATTTTTCAGATTCTTCCCCAGGAAGCTTTAGTCTGTGTCATGCTGTATATAAAGTTCATATCTTTTGTATGATGTACCTTGCACCTAACGATAATTTTTCTTACTGCCTTTCCTTTCAGGAATATTGAAACTGGTCTTCCTGAACTTATGGTTAACTTTGTAACTTCTTCTGACAATCCTGAATGCTTGAGGCCCCTTGTTGAGAAAATCGCAACTATTCCTGAAGTGGTAGGTTTAACATATTGCAGATAACTTCATTCTTTTATCTCTTTAGGTGAAGAACTTCCTATATTGATTGCTTACTCTGGGAATCATATTACTTCGACCACTAAAGTACTTCCATCGTGAGCCAAGTTCTGGTTTCATGAGTCAATTTCTTAATTAGCTCTTCTCTCCTATAGGTGGACCCATTGGCCATTGCGTTCTTTTGAGATGCCACCGAACCTTCTATTTTCCACAAAGTTACTTTTTTATTGGTCAGTCTGCATCTGCTATAGAAAAATAATCTATGGTATCATCGCTACTAAATTTTGTCATTGATATTTAACAGGTAAGCATTGTTAACAATGTGAATACTTCTATCGGCAACACATCTGTTGGGGAGAAGGAATATACGTTGTATGGAAAATCTACCATCACAGAGATTTTGAGAGGGCTTACTTTCCAGATTTCAGCAAACTCTTTCTTTCAGACGAACACACGTCAGGTATTTGGTAAAGAAATGGCTAGGCCAGTACCTTGATCTCTTCCGTTTATACTTCCAAACCCTGTTTGGTTTTCCTTTTTTTTTTTTTTTAAATTTGGTGCTAAATACAAACTCTTGAACTTTGCAGGCTGATGTTCTCTATAAATTAATTGAGGATTGTGCATTTCTTAAAGGAGATGGGTCTGAAATTGTTCTTGATTTATTTTGTGGGACAGGAACCATTGGCCTTACACTGGCCAAAAGGTATATAGGTTTTCTTCTCTGAGCTGCACGTTCTAGATTTTGCTGATCTGACATTTATTTCTATCTCAATTTGCAGGGTGAAGCATGTTTATGGTTTTGAAGTAGTAGCTCAAGCTGTATCAGATGCACGTCAAAATGCCACTCTAAATTTCATCAATAATGCAACCTTTATCGAAGGTGATTTGAATAAAATTGATTCGACCTTCGCCAGCAACTTGCCCAAGCCTGACATTGTTATCACAGGTTATTCTCTTCTTGTTTTCCTGATGGATGATATGTTTCATTTGAAGCTTTAACTTCCATTGCTTTAACAAAACCTTGGTTGTATGACGCTTGGGAATGTTTTATTGGTTAAGTCTCCCGGGACTAAATTGCTCTGTGAATGCCCTTTCAGTTTAAGTTCCCAATTCACTACCTGGCAGCAGGGTGATATCGTAAGATTAGTAGTCCTACACTCCTGCTGGTATAAGAATATTCAGAATGAAATAACTAACGTACATTGAAGTGTGAAAATTGTTTAGAAAGGAAGCATCGCCTCTGTCATGTTAAAACAGGATGTTTGATCTGCTTTTGGCCAGGCCTTTAGGTTTGATTTCTGTTCTTGTCCCCTTCAATGAAAAAAGATGGAGATCAACACAACAACTAGATGGCAAAGGCGAAGAATTTTGGTCACAGTTTGTGGTATGAGCCATAGTAAGAAGACAGCCTGAAGTAGCCACCTTGTACATATCCGTATAACTATAATGGAAATTTCAGAAGTTTCATAGAATCTTCTGTTTACAATGTGTTAAGGATTCTTAATATTGGCTTATCCTTCCGAATAAGAAAATTTCATGTTTACATAGAATGTTTATTCCAAAAAGCAATGAACGAGGAAGTTGTTTCCCTATAGTTAAACGTCTCAACATAAAGTTGCCTTCCTGTGGTAGATAATATTTTATGCAGGTCTCGAAATGAGGTCTCCGATGGCATTCTCAAGTACGTTATGTGAATGGCACGTGAGACCATGATTTAGTACTTAGTCTACTTGATACATAGCAATCTTTACCTTTTTCCTGGTGCACCTTTGGAGTTCCCATAAACTTGCTTACATTTATATTATGTTGCCGAACCTGCAGATCCTAATCGCCCAGGAATGCACATAAAGTTGATCAAATTTTTGCTAAGATTGAGAGCATCACGCATCATTTATGTATCGTGTAATCCTGCCACGTGTGCTCGTGATCTTAATTATCTCTGCTATGGTGTGGTGAGTATTTGAATTTTCATATTAGTCCATAATTATTTATCATCCACTCTGCTAAAGTCCATGACATATTTCAAATGCAGCCGGAGCAGAATATAGAGGGACGTTATAGACTGAGTAGCTTACAACCAGTCGACATGTTTCCACACACACCTCATATTGAATGTGTTTGCTCGCTTGAGCTTCGGTGATAAACCAGTTGTACATCTTAATTCCAACTAGTTGAATTTCTTGCGTCTGTAATTGTTATTGCTGCGTTCTGGTACTGCTGACATAGATTCCTATGGGATTTAGAAAGTGGAAGAATAGAAATGAAAGTCATGAAGCGATTGGTTGTTCAATTGATTGCTACGATTAAATTTAGGATTAACAAAGATCCATTTTAGCTGAATATTCTTGTAAAAGAAACTTATTTCTTGGAACACGGATGAGATTAAAAAGGCCATCAAGGCTGCCAATGCAATTAGGGCTCCCTAAGCACCTTAATTACTTAATTAGCTTTGAGACATTTGATTTTGACGTTTTTATATATGAGCATTAGTAGTATTATTTTAGAGAAGTTTTCGGTCTTTTTCCGCATCTGAATTTGCTCCAGCCGTCTCTTTCGACATAATTGACTGTCTAGTTTTCACCATTAAAAAATCACATGTCCCACATTAAAAAATGAATGTCTAGTTTTCACCACCCACTATTGTCCTGTTTTGTTTCATTTCTCTGTTAGATAAACTGGAAGTGTACTTTATATTTTTTCATCTTCGCTAAAAAGAGAAATATAAGTTCCCTATGAATTCATATGGGAGGAATATAAGTTCTTTATGAATAGAGATAGAAATTTGATGTTTTACCTGAGCAGATATGCAGGTCCACAATATAATACTTTATAAACATCAAATGTTTAAAAGCTACTAAATGTTAAAGGTGTCATTTATTATGAGTAATTTCCCTAGATAGTCATTCATGTTTGAGAAATTATCTAGTAATATCACTTATACCGTTAAGGACTACAATATCACCCAACTTTATATATTTTTCTCAAAATATACTTGACACATAAAAAATATTATTCTCTCTCCTATTGAGATGTCATGTCATGTCATATTATTCATTTTTTATTAAAAAAATTAACTTTTTAAAATAACTTATATGTTATATTCATTAAATAAAAAATAAAAAAATTCTTGATTATTTATCATTTTTAATTTTTTACTTTAGCATATTAAGAGAGAGACATTTTTTATTCTATTATTACATTTAACATTAATTATTTTTCTAAAATCATTTCTCATAATTTCTTAAAGAATATGCAAAGTGCACACTTTTAATGGAATGTCATATAATATTATTATTTTTTTAATACTATTTTTTTTATTTTTTAAAATTGGGAAATTTAGTTTCTACGTCCATCTCTACATCTTTACTTGTGGCTAGACTAACTAACCAAGAAAGTTTGTGAGTCTCTGGTCTCTACTGTAGGAAAATAAATACTACATTTCAGTAGAATGGAGAAAAAGGAGTCTTTATTGGTGTTGAATCATGAGATGGGCCAATTATAAGTGATATACATCAAGAATCCAAACATATATGAAGTTTAGTGTATATAAAGCTAATGAAACCATAATATTAGTAGTTTGTATACTTTAGTAAAAGATTAAACATTGATGACCCAAAATATAGATTGTGGAGTCATTTTTCTTAAATTCGAGAGTCTATTAAAAAAGATAACTCTATCCTATTTTCCTCACCCTCCTATTCATATAAAATAATTCAAGAACTAATTTTTTTTAGTAAAATGTATATAACTTAGCATGATCAAGATTTAAGAGGTAAAAAGGTGTCTATGCAAGACCTCTCTTCTTCATTACTGGCATGACGTAAAAATCTACGCACATATTGAAAAATGTAAGTATTTGAAAAGTGGATACTGTGTTATAGGACACGCATTTCAATTGAAATAAAGTTGAAGTTCTGTAAGGAAAATCATTAATTGACATTGCATGACAATTGACACCTAATGGCTAATATATAACAAAATAATCTATTTTTCTCCCTCACCCTCCTCATGCATGCACTGCACAGAGCACTTACTCCTATAAATAGAGTGTCACCTCTCCTAGATCTCATCACTACTTCAAATCCATTGTTCTCAATCTATAAACAAAAAAATAACCCAACATGAAGTATCTTCTTAAGATTAAAGCAGACATGTCTCATGTTAAAAAAATGACTCCAAATGGAGGGGTTGATAGTGAAAATATGCCTTATTTCTTTAAGGTAATTAAATTAAGTATATATAAACTTTGTACTTACATTCATCATTCTTACTTTTCGTTTTTTTTTGTAATAATTAGTTGTTATAATGAAAGCATATTGATCATCTTCTACTCTCGTGTTTTCTTTTGTTCTAGCTTCGTTGTGAACACTGTGACGAGCTGTCGAAAAGACAATGTGTCTACATGTCTGAGGCGGTAAACTACGGACGTGACGTTGTTAACCACGTCCTAAAAGTAAAAACAAACTTGTGATTATATTATTATTTTTTATTGTATAGATCCGGTTTAGTTTTTTATATTTCTAATAAATTTGTTTTTAATCACATTCAGTGCAAAGGATGCAAAGAAACTGGGGCTGTAACACTAATTTCCGGTTATGGAAGGGATTTGACAGTGAGTGGAGCTTATGCTCCGCTTATGCTTTTTGAATGTACTAACGGGCTAGTCCCGGAAGGATATGAATTCAACGGCGGCTGGACCCTTACTACTGTAAATTTTTCCTTCAACTTCATTATAACCAAATACTTCATTTTTTACTATATTATTTTTAACAGTGATATTGTTATGTAGGATTCGAATAAGGTCATCATGGACGTGAACTTGGTTAGAAATTTCTTCTGCGGCAACTTTGATGAATACGGAAATCAGCCTACAATTGAAAACACTAGGGGAAAGATTACTTTTTACCAAGAATATTTTATTTTATTTTTAAATAAAAGTTAGGCATTAAGCCCTTTATTAAAATGGATATATGTTTTAGGGTCTAGGCCAAAAATAAAGTGTACTGTGCCAAGATATTGGATGGTACTTAATAATAATGTATGCCTAGATTAGTTTTATTTTGGTGTTGAATAGTAGGACTCTTTTCTTGTATTAACGGGTTGATCATCAATATATTATTATTATTATTACGTACTTGCTCATAATATCTTACATAGAATTCGCAAGTACAAGCTAAAAAAAAAAGCACAAACTAGCGTTCTGTCTAAGACATGAAACTAAATTTAAAAACGGCGACCTAATTAACGTAACCATTCATCCTAAAGGACCTAAACTACAGCACAGATGTACTACTTATGAAAGATGAAAAATTTTATGACGTTGAGGCATACCAACTCATACTCATACTCGTGTGAGGGTATTTTAATATTAATTTTAATGTGATATATGGGAACTATAAAGTCAATTTACCTTTTTCTCAACCATTTTTTTTCTCTTTCCTGTTTTGTTTCATTTTCAATCTTTTTAGTATCTATTTTGAAACCAATTGTATTACAATCTCATTTTTATTTTTGCTTACCATAAAAATAAAGTTTTTTTTGTCTAATATATTTTATCAAATAATAAAAAATATATATTGTTTTTTAATATTATTTTATCACTAAATAAATGCATAAGATATTAATAGTCAAAATTAATATTTTAAAACATAATTAATAAGACTAATTTAATAAAATAAACCTCTAATAAAATATAAGTGAATTTAAATATAAAAAGAATAGTGGAACACATATTATTAAATTATATATTAAATATTTAAATATTATTGGCATAGAAAATATGAGTGTTACGATGATTATTATTATTATTATTATTATTAGGTATTTGGCCATAAATTCTAAATATATTTTTTCTAGTTGCAATTATGGAGTTGGCATTGAAGATAAAGTTGTGTTGGTTATATATTTGGTAAAGAATATTTAAAATGATGTTCTTTTTTAAATTTGCTTAGATACAATTTTAAAAGTAAAAAATGAGTTTAAAAATAGATTATTAGATGTTCAAGTTTTTAAATATAATTTCAAATTGAAAAAAAAAATTATATTTCAAATTTTGATGACCAAACATTGATTTTAAAATAAATTGAAATATTATTACGAAAAAAATAAATATTTTTATGTATGAATGGATCCTAAAACTAGAGGTGGAAAAATACAAGAGACATAAAGATGATTCTTTTAAAAGTACGGTAACTGAAAAAATAAAAGAAAAAGAAACAAAAAGGATTTTAATAGACAGTTTTCAAAATATAAATAACCATTCAAATAATTAATTTCGATTTTTTAGGCTCACAACCTCTAATTATCTACAACATGGGCACATTTTATATAAAACTATCCAGCTCGAAACTTATATATTAATCACAAAAAATCCATTGGAAATTCAATAACCGAAATGAACAACGGATAAGCTAATTGGATCGTCTAATCAATTTCTTGAAAGATCTTTCATTAAAATTAAAGTTTTTTAAATGGGAGAAGATTTTAAATAGTGTCATACAAATATATATTTTTTAAAAATAATTGAGATAGAGAAAATAGTGAAAAAGATTATGCAATATAAGTATATGAGAATTGAACTTTTACCAAAAGTACAATGAGTCTTTGATTACTTGTACAAAATTGTCCATTTATCCATTACACAAAGCCTCACACAAGTATGAATTGATATACCTCAATCATAGTAAAAAATTTCATGAAAGATCACATGTTCCACATTAAAAAATGAATGTCTAGTTTTCACCATCCACTATTGTCCTGTTTTGTCATTTCTCTGTTTGATAAACTGGAAGTGTACTTCATATTTTTTCCATCTTCGCTAAAAATAGAAATACAAGTTCCCTATGAATTCAGATGGGAGGAATATAAGTTCCTTATTAATAGAGATAGAAATTTGATGTTTTACTTGAGCAGATGTGTAGCTCCACAATATAACACTATATAAACATCAAATGTCTAAAAGTTAAAGGTGCCATTTATTATGAGTAAAATTTCCCTAGATAGTCACATATGTTTGAGAAATTATCTAGTAATATCATTTATTTTTGGTTTAGGATTACAATATTACTCAACTTTACATATTTTCCTCAAAATATACTTGACACATAAAAAACTTTATTCTCTCTTCTATTGAGATGTCATGTCATGTCATATTATTCATTTTTTATTAAAATTTTAAAATAACTCATATGTTATATTCATTAATGTGTATATAAAGCTAATGAAACCATAATTTAAATAGTTTGTATACATTAATAAAAAATTAAACATTGATGACCCAAAATATGTAGTGTGTGGAGTCATTTTCTCTTATAGAGTGTTAAATACATATTTGATGTGATTTTCTCTCAAAAGAAATACTTATAAAATAAAGAAAAAAAATATAAAAGATTTATTATATCTAAGAGACTTCAATCCTGAGTCACAACTTTTTTCTCCCATTTAAATGTAAAAGTGGTAATCCGCTCAATTAGAGACGTGGATTTGAGCCAAGAGTACATATAAGACTTTCTCCCATTGTCTTCATGATTGTCAACTGCACCTTTATGAATACTGACTTCATTTAGTCTCTTGGACTGCTTGTATTGCTTCATTCTGGATTCTTTTGTTGTCTCATGAAACACCTGTCACACATATCAAAATGTAATGAAGGGGCTACGAATTACGTACTTTCCTTTGAAAAATTATACCACGTAAACAAGATATATAATGTCATATATATGTTCAAATCCTTATAATTAATGTGAAACAGTCGTACAATATATACTTAATGTTTTTGGTGTTACATGTTTGTATATGTATAGGCTGGGGACTACAGTATGAGTGACATGACATGCATATTGTCTTTGCTGTATATATGCAAGTCTTTACTTGATCTTGGATGGCTAAGATAAGGCAATATTATATTAATTGGTTAATCTATTGATACAACATTCTATTTCCCCGCCTTTGTTTGTATATGAATAATATGTTAATGTCTTTTCAAATTGAACATCAGGAGAGATATCCTATGAAAAATCACTTAACGTTGTCGTTTTTGGTACATAATTTATGTTTATACCTGGAGTATTTTGCTTTCAGTGCAAGGAACAATCGATACTATCTTGGGGTGCAAGTTCCTGATCAGATTATATGCAAATGATTCAAGGCGCATTGAAGGAATCTCAATGTGTAACTTTAACTCTCGAGTTGGTGGAACAAGAATTTCTCTTGGATCTTCATAGATAAGAATACTGTTATTCTGCACATTGTACAAAGGCCCAAATTAACCAAGTGGATGATAAAATCAAGGCTTCAGAATGGAGAGAACAGAAGGGAAACCTACCTTTTCACAAATAATTACAAATATTAGACCCTTAGAATAGTTAAACTTTCGAACAAAGTCCTGAATATTATTGCACCAACTTGTTTCCACATCTCCAAAGATGTAAGAATTTCTAAACTCTGGCATCAGATAAAATCGGAGGTTGGCTCGTTCCAATTTACAAGGATCCATAGTTGAGATTGAAAAGGGCATTTTGAAACCTTCAAAATCGAACATTTTCAGATTTGGAGCCAACATCATGTTGACTTTCTCCACATTCCCCCAATCCCACAAAGAGAATCTCTTAAGCTTTTCACTCACAACATTAATATTTTTCATTACATAGCATCCTTCGAGTATTAAAACTTCAAGGGCTGTGAGCTTAGACAATTGATATTCAAATTCCTGGTCGGTCATGGTGGAATCTTCCAAGTGGAGGTATTTCAAACTGTTATAACCATCTAAAATATCAATTGTGCAAGGCAACGATTCTGGTTCATGTGTCTTGCGGTGTTTGTGCAAAGGTGAGCCAACATGTAGAAATTTACAAAGATTTGGAGCCCGGATTTCGACCTTGTGAAGTTTTTCACATGCCCTTAGCTCCAAATTCTCTAGATTTACTAGACCCGATACATACAAATTATTCTGCAACGACTTAACTTGAGATCCCTGATTAATGGACATGTTGCAATCAATTTTTGCAATTTGTTGGTGGTGCTATTATGATTGATTTCAAAGTTGCACCTATATAGAGATAACTTAGTCAACGTCTTAGCTGCTGAATATATAGCATCAGGTATGGTGTAGTACAATGAACCCGACCATGATATGCCAATTTCTAGAAACCTGACATTATGTTTAGTTGCCAATTCGATCCAGCGATCCATATGAGAAACCAATTCCGGAGAATAAAGATCCATAAGGCGGAGTGTCTCGATTCTTAAGTTTTGCTCGACATGAGGCTGCAAGGAATCGTCAACGAATTGAACAAAATTCTCCAGGGATTTGTTGTGAAAGTTGGATTGAAAGATTATCACATCAGGTCGGCCTCTCCAAATTGAATTCCATGTCTTAGACAACACACAAATTTGAGCTTCTTCTTTGAGCCCGTACTTACAAGCCCTACCTAAAATGTCATGAATTATGTGAACAGGTAACTCTGATATTCTGTTAATAATTTCCGCCATAATTATCAACCAAATTTTCTCAAGTAGCTTTATGCTATATATAATTTCTCAACCGCCTCTTTGGACTAATTGGTCACACTTTCCATAGAAGTTGATACGGAATTTTTAAGGTTTACCTTTAAAAGAATTTTTCACGCACAAAGTTGTTGTTTAATTTTTCCTAATATTTAAGACCTTTTAAATCAACAAGTAAGATTTTGGTTAAATCTTTCCTAATTTAATATTTGTACTATATAGGAAATCATAATATATAGAACTTCAAATTAATCAAAATTTTGCCATCTATAAATTATTTCCTTAAGTTGAATTGTCAATTTAAATATCACCTTATATAAATTATTTACTTATTTGAACGATGCAACATAACTATATTGTTACTTCTAATTTTGAATTTTTGCCTCTCTTTTTTTTAGCATACTTTAATTTTTTTTAGCATACTATACAATATTGCAAGAGACCAAACCCATTTCATAATCATCTTTTCTAACTAAAACTTTCATTAAAATGAGCATTCAACCACGAAAGTTCCAACACTCAATTTTGTCACATATATGCCTCTTGCTCGCTGTGATGACAAAATCCATAAGCATGACTTAATCTTTTTATTAGATCTACTAATTGTTGGAGTATTTGGTGGTTCATGAACCACAGTGATGAAAACAAACAACTCCAATGAAACAACATAATACCTTTAATTAAGTTCAGTTTCTCCTATTGCCCAATATGTCTAATTCATATTGACTCAATGCTTGAAATGTTTTAAGGATCAGCTCAATCAAACTTAAAATTTTAAGTTCTAACTTGCAGCTATTACCAACTGTTGTAATTTTTTAAGAACTGAAATAACTTCAAAGACAGGAGGTTCTATAAGGGCCCGTTTGGCCATGCGATATGATATCATGATATGGAATCATGAGATGAAATTGAAGGTTTGTTTGGACATGCGATATGAAATTTTTGTGTTGTATATGAAATTGTTTATTCAATCTAATCAAGTAAACAAAAAATTATAAAATCGCATAATAAATTATTACAAAATTATTTGTTCTCCACTTAAGTAATTATTTCATCTAATTTTAATTTAATAAAAAAAAATTGAACATAAATTGTAGTGTACTAGTCTTTAATATAATCCTCCCACATAGTACGGACAATTTCCTCACGTTGAACTTGCATTTCTCGATCATGTGACCGAGAAGACGAACCAACATTGTTACTTTGAGCCATTTGTTGGTCAATATCCTCCGCAACTATATCTTCATGTTCATAGACCATAAATATTTCATCACTACTTTGGTATTCTCGCAAATAATTATGTAACACTGCACAAGCTATGACAATTTTCACTTGTGTATCAATATCATAATGGTTCATTGGAGTAAACAAGACAACACATTTCACTGCATGTTCAATCTAACTTTTCAACCTAACTTTTCACTTCTCATCAATATTTGAGTAATAAATGAAACACCTTTCATGGGCTCTTCAAGATTTTATTACTCCACAAATTGTGAGGTGTGAGTTAAAGTGACTATATGTTGGTGAGAATAATAAATTTTATGTCGGTGAGAATAATAAATTTTAAAAAGTAATGATGTGATTATAAATTTTATTTACATATGAAACAAATGGTTAGTAGATATAAATGTGGGGTTGTTTTAACAAAATATAAACTCATGGATCAATTGTTGTATTAAAATATCTCAAATCATGATATGTAATCACATGGTGATTCCATATCATGGTTTTTGGAGAATATGATATCACCTCTCATGATATGGAATCATGAGATGAAATCAGCGTAAAATCGCATGTCCAAACGCTGATTTCATCTCACGATACCATATCGTGATATGATATCGTATGGCCAAACGCCTACTAAGAAATATTTTAGGTTAGGTGGAAAAACAATGACCCGCCACATTGTGGTCTTGGAGTTCCCGTAGTGATTAAGTGCTGATTTTAATGAAAAACTTAATTGGAGAAGATGACTATGAAAACGGGTTGGGAATAGATAAAATGGTTGGGTTTTTAAAAGAAATTGGGTATTTTAAATTGGGGTGGGTTATTTGATTCCTGAGTTGACATGCGTCTCTTCATTAAAATTAAGGGTATATTTGTGCCAAAGTATAACGACAGGGGTATATATGAACCGAAAGTATAATGAGGGATACATCTAAACTATTTCCAATAGTACATGGGTATATTTGACCCTTTTCCGTTTAAAATATATGATATAAAATATTAAAAGTGGTAATATATGTAATTGTTTGAAACTAGAGGTAAGATTAGTATATATAGTAGTGATGTATGTCTAGTTAAATAGTTTTTTTAAATTTTAAAATGCACATTATTTTATGATAATTTACTGAGCAATAATAATAATAACTAATTATTCTTTAATACAATTCTTTTATATGAAATATAGATATTTTTTTCACGTCAAACCTGAGTCTTTTTTATAAATATAAAAAATTTGAACTAAAAATTTGAAATCATTATTTAAAAACTCAAATCATCTCTTAAACTATTTGAGAATTGACATCATGTAACTTCCAATTTTCCAGTATCAACATAGGTAAATGTACGAAACACAGTATAGCATGCATACCCCGCGGCCCCGCCTAAGCAGAAAGAGAGAAAAGTAGGGCTAAAAGCACTATTCTGCAGGCATTTAGGGTGCTTCGTTTGTGTTGTATCCATTGAACATTAGCAGTAGTTATGGATATTGAATGTGTAAGGTCCAATGTTAAAAACTGATTGTTTTGTTGGTGTTCATTTCAAATTTTTCAATCATATGGCTTTAGCATCTAGTCCTCATCAAACTTACATTCCTCTCCCATCTTCCAATTCAGGTGGTCTTTTATCTCCCAATATTTAGTTTTACTTCCATGATGGTGTTGGTGTTGTTAATTTAAGGTTTTGGGAATGATTAGGGCTTTTATTTGGTTTATTGGTGTAGTGGGTGGACATCAGTTCGTTTCCCCTTTTGCATATAGTAACCTTGAGGTTTGAGATGCTGTATTTTACCCGTGGATTTAACTCTACCGGAAATTTGCAAATGGGGGTTTACTCTGTTTCAGTGGCTTGTGGTGGTGGTGGGGGTTTGGTGGATGGTGGTATTTCTTACTTATTATCATTCTCGACTTTCCATTTTTGTTTTTTGTTCTTCCTAAAACTCCATCAACTCTCTTCAAGTTTCTATGATTCTAAGGCTTTAGAACAGTTTTGAGGCTAGGGTTCTTGATTTTGTTGCTATATGCTTCCATGATTTATCTTTTGCATACTACAAATCAGTAATTGCTATTTCGGCACAAGTCAACTGGCATGTGTTTTAATCCTAATAATCATATATTCTTTTGTCATTTTTGCGGTTTGTTTTCTTGTGATTAGTTTTGTATGAGCTATCATGCATTTGAGCAGGTGGTAGGCATGCTGATCATGAAGTAGTTTTAAAACCAGTCCCCATTTATATCATCAGCCATGAATCTCAACTTCCAGCCACATTTCTCAACCCTTCTCCAAAAAATGAGATGGTTGTTGGACTTGACTGCGAGGGTGTTGACCTCTGTAGATATGGAACTCTCTGTATTGTGCAGGTTTTTTTTCAGTTCTCACATGTTCTGAGTAGATACCAACTTTGTGCTTCACTTGATTTTCTATATTATGATGTTATTCAGCAGTAGCTTTGTAAGTTTATTATGAGTAACTTTACTTAATATATGTTTTCTTGCAAAGCAAAAACACATTGGTAATTTGGTACACTTCTTGAAGAATAAGTTTGTATAAGTTGTAAACATCCAGAGAATTATCTCCTAATCTTTCGTTGCCTGACAATGAACAAATGTAAAAACCGTAGATATAATCCTCTTTAAGACTTTATGCATCCAAATCAAATACCTGTTCTGTTCCAAATTAATGGATTCAGTGCCCGAGTTTTAGATGTCAAGGCTTGTACTCAAGCACCCTGTCAACCAAAATTTGACTAGTTTTGGCATTGGTAAAAACTTGTCTTTTTGGCGACCTTAGTCCAATCTAGTGTATAAATTGCGAGATGTGTAAATTGACTGTCTTAGTTGGTTAGGTGATTCCATGCGCTCTGTTCCAAATTAATGGATTCAGTGCCCGAGTTTGAGATGTCAAGGCTTGTACTCAAGCACCCTGTCAACCGAAATTTGACTAGTTTGGGCATTGGTTAAAACTTGTCTTTTTGGCGTCCTTAGTCCAATCTAGTGTATAAATTGCGAGATGTGTAAATTGACTGTCTTAGTTGGTTAGGTGATTCCATGCTTAGTTTCACATGTTTATAGGTATTTTGGTAGAAATTTGTGTGGGGCTTGACCATATTCACCTTTACCTTTACATTCTTTTTGATGAAGTATGGATTGACCTTTCCTCATTTAAATTAATAGCTTGCTTTTCCGGACGCTATCTACTTGGTTGATGCAGTACGCGGTGGGAGAAAGTTGATTAACGCTTGTAAGCCTGCTCTTGAGTCTGTTTATGTCACAAAAGTTATTCACGACTGCAAACGGGATAGTGAGGTCATATAGAACTTCTTTTAGCCGCCTCTTGTTTCTCCTTTCCCTCTTGTATCATTTTTGTCACATTTTTCCTCTTTCTTTTTCAGGCATTATACTATCAGTTTGGTATCATGTTGCACAATGTTATGGATACCCAGGTTAGCTTCTGGTACTTTCTTTCGAGCTACTTGACTACTAGTTTCTCATGTTATCCTCTGAAATACCTTTTAACTAAAGTAATAAGTGATTCCCACATTACTCTCCAGCTGCTTAACCCGACCCTTTTCATACTCATTGCATGTTGTCCTTTCTACCACCTCATATTTATGATATTTGTTTTATTATCGTTCACCTGGATTGTGCTGATTTCCAGCCGTGATAGTTTTGATTTCTACACTGGCTCTGCTTGTATTCTCTCTATATTTTGTTAAATTTACTGCACCATTTTTTGTGACTTCTAACTGATTGGGGATTGTATGTAATTTTAGACGATGCTCAAATGATGAAATCTAAAAAAAATTAAAATTGGGACCTTTATATGGTGATTTGGCATCAAGACACTTTTCTTTTTAGTTGCTGGCTATGATGATTACTTCTTCAACCATGCAGTAAAAATCTCTCTCGGATTATTAAATGAATCATTTCCCACTGATTTTTTTTTCCAGATGTGGTTTATTTAATGCAAATCACTCCTGAATATTAACTTACTTCCAACAGCGATACAAAGTTGCTTTTATATCACAGTGACTGCTTTTCTTTCTATGTTGTACAGATAGCTTATTATCTGATAGAGGAACAGTTGGGGAAGAAGAGCACACAAGATGGCCATATCTCTTTTGTGCGCCTTCTTGCAGATCCACGCTATTGTGGTACTGTGTCCCTATTCTGCCTCTATTTATCTTTTCCCATGTGGTGACTGCATTAAGTATATGAATGTTGATTGTTGAGTGGTTAAATGCAAGAATCCCTACTGGATGACCAGATAAGTTTGGTTCCTGGAAACGTTTTGATTTGGTTTTGAGAAAAAGGGAACACATCATCTAGGATTTGGTAGTGATTATGTTTGCTCTTATGGTTTTTTATCATAAAAGACAAGGAAACGTATTGCAAAGTTTCTTCTTTGAAGTGCATCTCATTCTTTGAGGAATGTCTTTTCACCATTGTGTTAGCCATGCATTTTGAGTGATGGCATTGGGAAGTGATATTGTTCTGTAAGTTTTGATTAGGGAACAAACTAATATGCATATTTCAAGTTGTCATGGTAATGAAATTCAAATTAATGGTGAAAGGGAGGAGCAGGAACCTTCTAAAGGAAAATATTCTTTTCTGGTTAGTTCATAACTTCGAATTGTATATAAAGAAAACAATTGAAGCAACAATTCTATAGTGTACAGCAAGTACTCTTCTTGATACTGGCAATATAACCTCATATATTTTGCACTTCCAGTGGAGTTTGTAGCTCTAACCACCTCTCCTCTCTGACTGCTTTTGCTCATGAAATCCTAGGGAATGCAATGAACTTTAATGATGATCATGACTAGAAAAAGCTTGCTATGGCAAATTTCTCATTGTTGGTTGTGAAATAGAAGTTCATGGACAGATTTAGTTGCTAATACACTTTCCTTTACTTTGTATCTCTTTTATGTGATTGCAGGCATATCATACGTGGAGAAAAAAGAAGTCCGTTCCCTTCTGAAAGAGGTTGGATTCTGTTTTACCTATTCCTCTCTTCAGTTGACATGCCTACCATGTGGAACATGCATCTTTGGATATCATTCCCAGATCACAGTTAAAAGCCATACAGAAGAAATGAGCATTTTAAGAAAGTTCTTGGACGGGTTTTCAAAGACTTTGGTAGTAGAAAAATTGGTGAAATATATATGGAAACAATCACCCAGTAGGCAACTGGCAACAACTAGTCTTCCAGAAGTAACACAGTGTGAAATAAACCAATGTCTTACCATGCCTCTCCCACCCCCAAATAAAAAGAATACAAAAAAGAAAAAAGAAAGCCATCCTCATATCGGTGCTGTTGGAAATGAGGATGGGTTGACAAGATTTTCATTGTATATTGCTCCACTGAACTATGTCCTCTTCGAAATAGTTTATTTTTTATTTCTTATTACACTGGTATCTGGTATCTGGTATCTGGTATCTGGGATGTCTTGTGCTCATCTCAACTATTCCACTAGATACTTGCTACCTTCCACCGGCACAACTAATAAGACAGATGGGAAGAAATCACATAGTGTTTTTCCGTTCTCTAGGATTTGAACCCTAGACCTCATGGCTCTTCAAAATAGTTGCTGATGACATATAAAT